AAAGAAAGAAAGAAAGAAAGAAAGAAAGAAAGAAAGTGCTGTAGTAGCTATTGTAGATCGTTGGAAACTATGGTTACTATGGTTACTATTTTTAAGGCATTTATACTTTCTAAGGAAGGTTATTTTAAATCTTATTTTAATATAATATTTATTGGACTTGTCTGTGAATTTAAACAACTTCACATAATAGTTAAATCATGTGTTAATGTTAAACCATTTGTTCCGTGGATTATACTGATAGCATGGAAAACATTAATATTATGCTCTATTAATTAGGCTATTCATATGAAGAATGTCCGTAGAGACTAGGGAGCCGTAAAGTGTTTCGGGCTGTCGTGAAGTGTGGTAAACGGCTCTGTGTCAAAACACGGAACTGGCGCAATCATTTGAAACAGTCAAGGCGTTTGTTTGTATTTTCACTTTAGTAAACTCTGTTTTCTATTTTCCCGTTTTAACGCACCGATTAAAATATGCTGTTAGGTGCGATAAGAATGGTGATTTAATAATATTGCAGATCTTCACTTTACATAAACCGTAAGTTCATCGGTATCCAAGGACGCGCTACAGATCAGGCACAGTCACACACACACAGCGCACTTTATTTAAACTAGCAGTTGTTCTTAGTTTATTAAAACACTTGTATTAGTGCGCTGTTTTGTTATTATCTTATTAGGCACCTATTAATGCGTTATTGTTGCAGTTGGTCATACGATTTTAATGTGTTTTAGTGTATTTCATATCGGATTGTTGTATTGAGTGTATGTTTATTGAGACTTAATGCAGTGTCCATAAGAGAGTGTTTGATTAATTCATAGACCCAGATTCACTTGATCTGATTCAACTCCATCTACTTGTTCATCGTGTTATCTGTCTGTCTATCTAATTAATTTTGGACTAGACAATGATATAAATGAACTTTTCTGTTAGGATCTCAATGGACCCGAAAGACAATGAACGTATTTTACTCCTCGAGGAAGAGGTGAGGAGTTTGTCTGAAGAACTCGCTCAGTGCCAGGTATATTAAACCATTTGTTATTATTATTATGTATTTATTGTCAAATTACTATTTCTTTTGTCTGTTCTTCTCTGTCTCAGGCTATAGTGACAATGGGTTTAAACCATTTTTCCACTACTGCAACAATATACCAATATTCTAAGATAGTCATACCAGAAGCCCATATTAATTTTTTCCCTTGCAGTTTATTTATTTTTATTTATTTATTTATTATTTTTAATTTATCTTTTTCTTTTGGCACAGTTGCGATGCTAAGACAACCCGACTTCCAACATATGGTCTCACTGTACTGAACACTAAACTCATGTGACTTAAGGATCCTGCATATTGTTAAAGCCCCACCAGGTGGTGCCTAAAAACAAATACCTGCATTGTCAACAGTGTCTCAAACTCAAACTATTATTATAAATAGATTGACACATATTACTAATATATTATCATTTTTGAGCATATAGTTTACTTACAGACATCCTTAACACTGATCCTGATAACTCCTAATTGAAAAGAGCCATCAACAACTACTCAGTGGGTAGTCTTTACTTACTATACAACAATAAAGAGCTTACTCTGACCTACAATAGGACTACATCATCAGTGGATGTCGACTGACTCTGTCTAGCTTTTTTTTTTTACTTGCCTGCGGTTCACAATTGATTTTTCTCCATTTCACTTCTAATGACAAGCGTGTATGTATAAAGAATCACATATCATTTATGTAAAAGGCGTTGTGCCCATCCATCGACTGCCATTAACTGCAAAATGTTTCTAGTGGACCTGAGAATTATCAGGGAGGCAGTTTTACTTTATTAATATTTGTATAAATAGCAACATTCAATGAGTGCACTCATCCAGTGGGCATTCATGGTCTGCTGTATAGATAAATAATTAATCAATACGACTGCCTTTCAACATATCAAACACCTTCCATTCCATGAGAAAATCCCTGTAATGCGCAGGAGTTGCTCAATCTTCTGATGTAGTGAGCTTAAGCGCTTGTGAAGAGACCACCCATTTGATGGAGGACTTTTCTTAATTTGTCATTAAACACAATGAAGGCTAGGAATTGTGAGATCTCTATTTCTATTCATTTGTCTCTCTCTCGCACACGCTACTTTGTATGTTTAGCCTATGGTCTATCAAGGTCTGCCTGCACCATTTAGTAAATAATTAATTAGACACTTGAATAGGGTTTAAAATTCATGTACTAATTGGACACCAGCAGATTCTGCAGGGATTTATGACTTTAATCTTATAATGATGTGGACATAATTTAACAGATCATTTTATATTAAGTTGATCTGGTGTAATTCTGTTTTTTTTATTAATGTCAGAAAATGATGTCTCTCATTAAATGTAATGTAGCTTAAAAATCTTTGAAAGCCATTTTTTTTCCCAAAGACACTTTGAATTGCAAGTGTGTCTTGTACGGCTCTCTGCCGCCACTTTCTTCTTTAGGCAACTAGTGAGTTCAGATTTACCCTTGTTTTTTTTTTTTTTTTTTTTTTTTGATTTAATTTCCCTATTTTTTTTCATTTGTTAGAACAATAATGTTTCATGCATTTGTTTGATCTTCAGTTTCAGTACATCCTGTGATATAATTTACTGTGATATCTATCTATCTATCTTTCTATCTATCTACATTAATAAGTGAATTGTAATGTCAAACTGCTTGGTGTTTTCTTTGCAAGACTTTCATTATTATAATGAGGCTGTTTCTTCATTTCTGTCATTGACCCATCTGTGCTGCTTATATAAACAGCTGGCTGGAAATTGCTTATTTGGAAGCTGCTTTTTAAAATTGTTAGCATCGGTAACAAAAATGTTTGGTTGTTTTTGTATTTGCTTCTAATAGACAGACAAGGAGTTTGTGTGGTCGCTTTGGAAGCGACTTCAAGTGGCCAGTCCAGACCTCACCCAGGCAGTGAGTCTTGTAATGGAAAGGTGAGTCACATTGTAAAGTCACCTGTTTTTTTTTTAAACGACAGCAAATCCTCTGCACCTATTTTCTCAGTCCCTTTCTTCTATTGAATCATTATGCTTTTACACTTCAGACTTGAAATAAATGCTTTTTCTGCCACATGAAATCCCTGATTTGCGAGCACGGTTCTGCAGAGGTGTGTGTTGGGTGGCTGCACCGTTGAATGCAGCTATGAGAGAACCCGAGAGCAGATGATGATCTAAACCCTCTTATCCTCCACACAGACTCCCTCCCTCTCTTCTCTTCTAAACGCTGAAAAAACTCCTCTTTGAGGGATATATACTAGATTTAACATGACTTATGACCCTCAAGAGGGTGTGGGGAGCTACAAAAGTGGCATGGGAACGTGTTGTGGGGAAAAAAAAAGAGATTAAATTCGTAATGCCGAACAATTGCCATTGTCATGCCTTTTAAATGTTATTATTATGATGATAAGAGGTGTAGATAAAGCAATATTTCGCACTTGGGAGAAAATTGAGGCCACTGGCATGGCTTGGCAATGGCTGTGTATTTATTTGGGTGCATATTAAATAATTCTTTCCAGCACCTAATGAAAGGTCAGAGATATGGAGCATTTTTTTGTGACCAAAAGCTTGAGCTTAAGCAAATGTGTTCCTCGACTCTAGAAGCAGTGATAAATTAAAGAGCACCAGCCAGGCTACGCTCTCCTATATCCCTCACGAGCTTCTTCCTCAGGCAGAGGCAACAAACCGAGCTGCTCCTCAAAGAACTGGCAACATGCACCTGAGGGCGTGTGCATATATCAGCGTTGTGCCACACGGGAGATTGACATGATAATTGTGCTGACTCTGTGAAGCACACAGGCTACTGGGAATTCTGGCTGGTCTGGTAGCGAGCAAACACTTGGCTTGGGATATGGTTAACATCACCAAGCTTCAAGGCAGTGGTGTTCTCTGAGGAGAGCCGTATCATGTCAGATGTCCTCAGGGAGAGATAGAATGAGAAAGGGTGGAAGAGATTGAAAAAGTGAACCAGGGAAAGGAGGATCCCAGGTGATTGGCGGCTGTTCAAACAAACTCGCCCCAATTGTGATTCTTTTGTCTTTTCCCCCCAAACACCCACTAAAGAGGGTTAGATCCTGAAAGGAAAGGAGTGTTTGTGTTTCCCCAGTGAGTAGTGTTCCTGTTTTGATATCCTGATAATTACTGATACCTGGAGACTGGAGTTATATCCCATCATTCCCTGTTGACCCTCTGCGGTATAAGCTCAGAGAACGCGCTGAGTGGTTGAAAGGCAATTTTGCCTGTTTCTTCTCCCACAGCATCCAGTCTATCCTGCAGTGCTTTATCTCCTAACCGAGCATCACCGTTGCATCATCCCAAATAGATTTTCAAATGTGAATGGCTGCAGCGTTCACTGAGGCCAGTGGATCGTTTCGCCCTCTTCTGTATTCTGTATTCTGTTACTGTGACAGCCTGCGCCTTTAATTTTGCTCTTTTGTTCAATCTGTGCTGTACTAGAGAAAAGCAGAAAGCTGAGAACAAGGACAGGAAAGTTCTGGAGATCCTTCAAGCAAAAGACTACAGAATCCAAGAGCTGGAGCAGGTACTGTGAGAGCTTTACATAACTTAAACTACACACCAGCCACAGGTGTACAGACATGCATGTGATCTCAGAAACCTTCGTCTCTCCTTTTTTAATGAGCATCTCTGACTGCTTGATAGAGCTGCTTGGATGACAGCTAATGATGAAGCCGTGTTGTTAATTCACCTTTAATCATGCCCCTTAATGAAACATCTGTCAGTCGGCTTCATTAGGAACTCTTCGCCAGCAGCGAGTCCGTCAAATATGTCCACGCATCACGCATACTCTTCATTTGTGTAAATAAGATTAGCCATGGCTTGATAACCCATAGCACAGGGGTCTCCAACCTTTTTTATAGCATGGACCAGTTTTCGTTTTGACAGTATTCTCACTGCAAGGAAGGGGGGTTCTTGGGAGGATTGGAACAAATTACGCCTCAAATTACGTCTCTATTTCAACTGCATGCAACAACAAACTAAAACAAAACATTACAACTTGCCATAATAATCAATGGGAGCACTGGGCTTTTTTCCCTGCAATAAAATGATCCCAGCGAAGAGGGATGGGTGACTGTGAGACTCGAAGCGTATTGCAGATGGCCAGCCTGCTCCGTAACTTTGTTTCAGTGGCTGTGAGCACAAAAAAAAACAGTTAGAAAAGGAAGTAAACACTTCGGAGCCTTCTCAGCTATCTCTGAATATTCTGTCTTTGTTTTAATTATTTGCGATCTCAATGAACTGATGCTCTTTACGCACTGGCATGGATGATTTGCGGGGCACGTTTGCAAATGGATCATAGACCCATTCCTTATCAGCTCTTCGATCATTTGCATTTGGGAAGTAGCGCTCAGACTCAGCTGACAGCAAAGCTATGTGATCACAGATCAGCTGGGAGTGAGAAGACCCGGGTTCTTTCTTTCCCCAAAGCGGACAATGTTGACAATATTGGAAACATGTCGAATGTGCCCTTTGGCACTCGCTGTCCCCACAGTTGCAACTTGGCTTTGAATGTAGACACTTTGTCTGCCAATTTGAAAACAGTTGTCATTCTCCCATGCAGTGACAAATTAATTATATACAAAATTAATTATATATTGTACATAAACCAATAATATTGCATTGTTGTCAACATAGGTCAATTCATCAGCCTGCAGTGCATACCCTGGCAACTCATTAACCCTTTCTAACATTTGCTCTTCAATGTCCTCTGCGATATCATCAGTTTGTTAGCTGAAAGCGGAATCTGGCCTACCTTGTTAGCTGCAGCTTCGCCAAACATTTCACGGCAAATGTCTTTTGCAGCTGGCAAAAACAGTTCTTCCCCGATGGTGAAGGGCTTCTTAGTTTTAGCGATACGGTCAGCCACCAAGTATGATGCTCTCAGTGCAGCTACACTTACAGATGTGGATATTTTAACAGATGCTGTTGCTCCATTTAAAAAAAATAAAATTCTGTTCAAAATAATCCAATGGTTTGTATCTCAATGCTGGGTGTTTAGTTCCAAGATGTAGCAGTTTTGAGAGCATCATTAACTCTAATTTTTCTCCACAAATTATACACATGGGATTTGGAGCATGTGAATTGTGAAAAGAGACGAAACCATATTTTAGAGATGAATAATCATATTTTCGGTTAAAGGCACAATATGTAAGATTTTTTTATTAAAATATCCAAAAACCACTAGAACAGTGTTATATATTTTGCTGACTTGTGTACTTACATTATCCCAAATGTTTCGAAGAATGTTTAAATCCAGAAAAATAAGCAATTTTAACTAGTGACATGGACCGTGTCTATAGTGTCATTGTGTCGCCTGCCAATGCCGTCATAACCCCTCGATTTCCGGTTTTGTTTTGTAGAAAACATGGAAACACCAAAGACGCTTTAATATGTTGTGTGTTTTATTAGACCGGTGACGACCGCACAGAGTAGCATTATAACAGAACTTTCAAATGTATCTAGTATGATAAAACAGCGCTGCTTTACCCCACATACTCACGACCGGAAGGAGCGGAAGC